CTTTAATACCAGCACCCAGGAGGCAGAGGCAGGTGGAGCTCTGTGAGTTCAAGACCAACCTGGTCTACAGAGCAGGTTCTAAGACAAGTACCTACTTCTCTACAAAACCTACCTTCTCATTCTTAAGAGTACCTAAAAGAAGTCCGAATCTCACTGAGGTCATTAACTCCCAAGGCAAATGGAGACAGTAGTGGCTACTGTTAGTCCCACTTCTAAGAAGCCAAACTGCTTCCAAGGTTCAGCAGGACTTCAGACTCAGGAGGCACAGGATTCCAGCCCCCCAACCCCACCCCAGATGCTCAGGCACTGGCTGGAATGGCTGAGGCCTCACCGATAGTCACACAGGCCAAGAAGCACTCTACGGGACGGCTGTGGAAGGCTCAGAGGCGCAAGCCCCTCCACATCAGTGTCCCCTCTGACCCTGGGGCACTGACTGGTCTGTTGCAGCAAAGCCCACATGACTGGGTACAGTGCATCCTTGGGGGAATGGAGAGGGAGGACAGACAGCAGACAAGCTGCATTCAGGAAAGACGGACATTTACCACTCATCGACGAAGTCTGCATTAGACATGGGTAGTGTTCTTCCCATTTCACCAGTAAACTGCCAGGATCTAAAGTAACAGGTAGTCTCACTGCAAATAAGAAGAGCAGGGATTTGAACCCAAGTCTGAAGCAACCAGTATTGCTGCTGCAACACTAACAACAAATACTAACCTCCCTACATCACCGCTGGTCCCACTTCTTCACCAATCCAAGAATCAGACATCCCAGATAGAAATAAAGGTAACATCCCACAGGTCCTCAGAGCCGGCAGAAGGCAGTGAAAGAGGACATGCTCTGACAGACTACACACCCCACTCTCACTTCCATGGTGTCTGGTTTCCTATACTTAAAACATTTCTATTCATTCTCCACAGAAAGCTTGGGAGCATCACTGTTCCTTTGTCTAGTATCCCCCTCCCCTTTTTTTTCTTGAGACAGGGTTCTCCTTGTGACAACCCTGGCTGTCCTGAAACTCACAGAGACCCACCTGCCTCTGCCTCCCGAGTGCTGGGATTAAAGGCAGGCGCCCCCACCGCTTAGCTAGTATTTCCCTTCTTAATAAAATTCACTGAAAGACTGACTGGGAAGGCCCACAGAGAGCTAGCGGCCACCTTGTTTAACTTTCCCTCCTTCTCTAGCTGGGAGGAAGGACACAGGCCTACTCACTCACAGCCTCTCTATCCCCAGGGACTTTTCACTCAGACTCTCCAAGTCGGCTGCCCAGCCTCAGGGTCTGCACATTTACAGGGTCTGTTGTGGAGTGGAACCACCCTGGGGCTCTTCCAGTGGAAGCAAACACCAGCTTAAACAGCCTCGTTCCACCCAGCCTCGTTCTACCCGGATGGGGGAAGTCCAAAGTCCAAGGCGACCCTCAACAATGGCAGGAGCAGGACTGAGGCTGTCACCTCCCAGCCTGCAGGCCCCGAGGCAGGCCCTACCCACCAGAGGTGCCAACTTTTCCTGTTAAAGACTTAACTGCATCTACAGGGGAAGGTGTTTGCTTGGCCTCTTAAGAAAAAGAGCAGAATTTCTCCCTCTGTGGAGAGCAAGAAGAAAAATCTGTCACCATGGGCTGGAGAGATGGCTCAGAGGATTGGCGCACTTGCAGCTCTTTCAGGGGACCTGGGTTCAATTCCCAGCACCCACATGGTGGTTCACAACTATCTAACTCCATCCAGTTTCAGGGGATCAGATGCCCTCTTCTGACCTCTATGGGCACCAAGCCCCCACGTGGTACACAGACATACACGCAGGCCAAACACTCACATACATAAAATAAATCTAATAAAAAGCTTGTCACCATTCCACATTTTAGGGACAGCAGTCTTCGAGAAGAATCCTGTGGATAACTAGCTACCAGACCCCGCCCAGTTCCAGATGTGAGGAGAGCAAGCCAAAGCTTAGGTCATTCTTCCAAGGCTGGGCACAGGGTCTCTCCCAAAAAAAAGTCATTTCTGACTCCTCCCCAAAGTCCTGATAGGTTACTGAAGTGAGGAGGCCCCACCCCACTACCTCACACTGGCCTATCACAGGGCGGAGCCCTGCTTCCTTGGCTTCCCCCACCAAAGCCCAAAGCTGGGCACGACCTCCGCGGATCTGGGAGACATCCTCGCCCGAGAATGGGTGCCCATTCTCGCCACACGGATCACAACCAGCCCTTGCTGTACCGGGGAGCCATTTCTCCCATCCGCCTGGAAAGATGATCCAATTCTGATGCTTTTATCATCAATGATTCCAGCAACTTGGTTCTACTTCCCCTCCTGTAATTACTTTTGAATCATCAACACACCAGGCAGCCTTAAAGCTCAGGGAACAGAGTGGAAAAAAAAAAAAAAAGAAAAGAAAAAACCCGCAATGGTAAACAACTTCACTAAGAGGAAGCCACTCCAGCTAGAAGCAGCTTGTTTCTGTCCAGAAATCAACTCACTAATAAACTGTTGTTCCACAGTCCCCCTTCACTCTTCCAAAGGTAGATGAGGGTTGGGGGGGGGGGGCCGGGAACTCCTAAAGGAGAGGAGGAGGACATTTGCTCCCTCCCACTCCTGTGCCTTTTCAGATGCAAGTTCTGTTTGTAAATGATGTGCAACTCAGTTGGCTGGGTGGCTGGGTGCCCCAGCAGCCCAGAAGCAAGCATGCCTTCCCCTGGAATGCAATCAAATTACATGGGGGAGGGGAGAGAATGACCAGGAGGCTGCTGCTGGCTGGAGAATTCAGATTCCTCCAGGGAGAAGTCTGAAGGACACAAACCACATACAAAATAAAAAAGAAAAAGAAAACAAAAACGTAACTCCAAGAAGATCAGCCCGCACTCAGCAACTGTCAGACACTGTCAGGAACCCAGCTGCTCCGCTCTCTGCGGCCTGTCACTCATCCTGCTGGATGAGACTTCAGCTCTGATTTGCTCCGCGCTGCTGCCTGCCACAGCATGGTCCAGATTCCTCCTACCCTGCCGAGGCCTCGGGACACCCACGGCTACGAGACCCCGAGTGGAAGGAAGCACACGCCGGTCCCGGTTCATCCCTATGTCCCCCTCCTCTTATGTCCTGGTCCATCCTGATCTCTTCACCCCTGTCTGAAGCTTGGGTCCTCCTCCTGGGATGGGGTTGTGAAGGGAGCTGGAGGGCTCTGGCCGTAAATTATCAACACAGGCAGCCGCCCTTTGCAGTCCGCGGCGCGGCAGAGCAGAGGCCAGCAGAGGCGGTAAAGTTGCTGCTGGATCGCACAGCTGGGTCAGCGACGACGCAGTGGAGAACAGGGGCCCTGGCAAGGAGGAGGGGCCTTCCTGGGGCTCAGATCTGAGCAAGCAGAGCTTCGTCTCTCCTCCAGGGCCGGCCGCTTCAGAGGGCCAAGAAACGCGAACTGCCCCCCCCCCCCCACCATCCTACTAAGGAATGCCAGCGAGGCTGGGATACCACGGCGGCGGCTTTGCCCCTGGGCTACGCAAGTTGGGTAGACTCCCTGGAAAAGTGGACCCCAGGAACAAGTGACCCGCTGATGAATATTAGTCAACATACCCAGGCCCCACAGCTGGCAGCCTTCCAGGACCAAGGCCTCAGTCTACTCAACTGTGGCACAGGCCTTTCATGCCCCGTCGGAGAGGAAGAGCAGCCTGGGATGTGGTCCCAAGAGCGTGCTCTTCCCTCAGTCTCGGAGCCAAGTGACCGCAGTCCTGAGAGTTCTCTAGAAGGGGGAAGGGCGGGGGGGGGGGGGGAGCAACGCTAGTCCTCACACTCGGCGGAAATTTCTACCGGCTATTTTGGACACAATCCTCCAGGCCAGATGAACGTAGGGGAAGGGGAATAGTTTCAGGAGACCCCCCCCCCCCCAACTGCGATCATAACCGGGCCCCATTCCATCTTCCCGGCCCCCAACCTCCTCCCCGCCCCCGCGGGAGGCCGAGGCCTCCGCTCCGGTCCCCAAGCGCACCCCAGAGAGAGAGAGAGAGAGCGGGCCTGCGACACCCCTGTTTTCTCCATCCCGACCCTCTCTCCCTCCCACCTCCCCAAGAAGGCGGGGGTCGCCAGCCTCTGCCCACAGACAACTCGCACTTTTTTTCGCTGCGCGATTCGGGGGGGGGGGGGGGGGGGACCACGCCGGGTCCGACTGCCATCCGACGAATTATGTAACCAGGGACACGGCTCCCGGGCTAAACAAACGCGGCTGTGTGTGCGCGCGCGCGCGCGCGTGTGTGTGTGTTTGTGTGTGTGCGCGCAGCGGCGGCCCCCGGGGGAGCGCACCGGGCAGGGAGGGGCTCCGGGCCGGCCGGGCCTGGGTGGGGGGGAAGGTCGGTCGGGCTTGTTTGCTCCCGCCGAACCGCCCCAGAGTCCCGCGCCCGGCCCCTCCCCCACCGCCGCCCCCACCTCGGGCCGGCGAACTTCGTCCCGAGTCCCCCCCCGCGCGCCACCGCCGCCCCGGCACCCCGGGGGCTCGCGCGGGCCTGCGTGGGAAGAACTCCGGTCCAGACGGCGGCGGCGTTGCAGCTCGGGACCTCCCCCCCTCCCCGTCCTCCCCTCCTCCCCGCGGGCCCCGGGACGGGCGCGCAGCGGTGGTGGTGGCGGTGGTGCTGGGGGGGGCGGGGAGAGGAGAAAAAGTGACCACTCCATCTCCGCGGCGCGGGCGGGGGCGGCGCGGGTGGCCTGGCGCGCTGCGCGCCCCCCTCTCCCGAGGGGAGGGGTGGCCCGGCGGGTGACAGCTGCGCGGATGACACCCTCCCGCTGGGCGCTGGCAGCCCCGGGGCCTGGCTCGAGACCCCCCCCCACCCCACGGGGGTCGGAGTGAGGACGGGTGCGCCAGGACTGACCGACCTTCTCCACCCCCCCCCATCACCACCACCGCGCGCGCGCCACCCCCGGGTCCCGCCGGATTCTCCCGCCCCCTCCCCTCCTCCTCCTCCTCCTCCTCGCCCGGGGTGGAGGAGGGGGGGGGCGACGCAAAGTTTTGGGAAGTTGCGCCCCTACCTTGCTTGGTGAGCACCAGGGCGTCTTCCCTCCGCGCCTGGGTGATGATGGAGCCGTGTTCCATCTAACAATCCCGCGGGCCCCGGGCTGGCTGGCTGGGCGGGAGGACGGGCGGGCGCGCAGGCGGGCAGGGCTGGGGGGCCTGGGCGGGGGCCCGTCGGGCTCCGGCTCCCGAAGACTCCCGGCTCCCGCAGCTGTTCACATCCCTCCCCCACCACCACCACCACCACCACCACCACCTCCTCCTCCTCCTCGCGTTTCCTCCCCGGGCCGGGAAGGGAGGAGGCCTGCACGGAGGGCGGACGGGCCCAGGCGGCGGCTCTCCCGGTGCCCCCAGCCCCCGATCCCCCGGTGGCAGCTCCGGGCTCCTCAGTTTGGGTCCAACATGGAGAATCCGGAGCGAAAACAAGAGGAGGAAATGGGACACGGGGCGGTTTCCAGGCTCCCCCCTCCCCTCCGTACTCCAGATAAACAACCCGCGGCTGCGGCGCCCACCCCCGCGCTCCTCCCCGCGCTGGAACCGGCCTCTCCGCCGCCCGCCGGCGCGTCCCGCTCCGGGCCCGCGTCCTAGGCCCCGAGACCCTCCCGGGGCGAGCGGCGGGGGCTGCGGACCTCGCCGAGGTTTGCTATTTTGTTACGGCAAAAGCGAATCCCCGAGGGGGGTGGGGTGGCGGGCGGGCAGGCTGGCGGGGGAGACTTGAAACCGCTCCGGCGCTCCGATTGGTCCTCCCCGCAGAAAGGGGGCGTGGCCCCTTCTTACTATGCGGTGCAAGGACCCAACAACATTCCAGCCGCCGCGGCCCCGCCCCCCGGGCCCCGCCCCGCCGGCTGGGCCGCCGCCTCCCGGTCCTCTCGGCCACACCCCCTTCCCAACTACTTAAAAGGCCGCTCCAGAGCTCCGCTTTCCCTGTTCGGTGCTGGGGTGTCGGCGCTTCCGGGCTCCGCTCGGGGAAAGGCTCAGTGGTTCCGCCCTAGGAAACCTGGGCGAATGGAGACGCCGGCCAGCCAGACCTGGGTTCGAGTCAGTTACGGTATTTTCCTGCATAGAACCCAGGGCCTTACATAAGAATACAGCTCATGAATCTTGGAAGTGTGCAGGGGGCGAAACCAGAACTCCAGAGTGCAAGACATGGAATTGACCTCGAGACTGGGTGACCTCCACACTAAAAAGGACACTTTATGGGCAAGGCCGGCCACCTTCGGTGCCAGCCACTCCCAAACCTGCCGTCCCATCATCCTAGCCCAGCTCCCCACCACCATCCCATAGTTCCATCCTCATTGTGAGGAGGATGGAGGTGACTAGTGGACCCAGACAGCCCTTCCTCAGTCTTGAAGGCCCCAGGCCTGGGTTTGAACTCTCAAATGGCTCCAGGTTTCACGGGAACGGTTTCCACTTGTCTTCTAGGGGGAGCAGCTCCAAAGGAGCGGTTTCAACTCCTGATCAGGTTGTTCTAAGAATGATTGTGTGTTGTGTGCGCGCCCCACTGCGCTGGAGGCGGTCTGAGGACGCCTTTCCAGACCTTCCACAGTGGGCTCTGGAGGTCAGACTCATGGAGGCTTTCATGGGGAGCGCTCTTACTGGTGCTTTTTGGTGATCTGCCCTCCATGAGGTGCCTTGGGAGAAAGGGATCTGCCCAGGTCGGGGCTGATGAGACTGATAACGCAGTCAGATTACAATGGATGACTGAAGTAACTTCCTGTGAACTTCAGTGGAACTCACCCTGCTAAGGAAGGCCAAGACCTTAGTTCGTGGGGGACGGGTGCAGCTGGTGTGGTCTCCCTACCCTACTTCTCATAGCCTGGCATTTGTCTCTCTTAATCTTGTCCAGGGAGGTCAAAACCTACAAGGTACTATCATCATGATGCGTAGACACCTATGTTCCTTAAGTGCGCATGCTTGCCTGTTCCTACACACACACACACACAAAAATACTTTTTTACATAACACCATTTTAATGAAAATGCTGTTTTTTCCAAAATGAAAGCCGCTGTTACAGAAGCTCTCAATGATGCTTATGTAACTCTAAACGTCTGGGTTCGGGTAGACTCTAATTCATTAACAGAAAAGAATTCTGACATATTTGCCGGAGGAGTTCTGACATATTTGCCTCCCACCGTTAAAACAATAGGATTGGTAAGGTGAATCTTAATGGGTTGCTAAGGGACCTTGTTGGACTTTGGCCCTGTCCTCTTGCGAGGTAGTTCCGTGGCAGAGGGAACAGTACAGACAGGACTGAGTGCTCGGGGAGACCTGCTTTTCTGTGACGTTGGATGAAACCTCTCCTGTTCATTTCCTCGTCCATAGATACAGTCTCTCCCTTCTTGTATTTACAAAGTACTTCCAGATATATCATCTGACTCACTTGATTTTTTTTTCAAGGTTAGCAGAAGAAGAAGCGTGGTCTGGAAAGGTTAATTGATTCGTCTGAGGTCTCCCAGCTTATGAAGAAGCAGTCACAGTGGGGTGTGGTGGCATACACCAGTAGTCCCAGCCCTGGGGAAACTGAGGCAGGGGGGACAGGGGTGTCATGAGTTCAAGTCCTTCCACACACCTTATTTAGGAACTGCTTGCCAATTAAAAGGCCCCCAGAGACTGGGAATTGTCCGGTTCGTTATTGGCTCTCTTGTGTATAACCCTGACAGAACAAGAGGTACGTTTCCCTCACATGTGTGGATGCCAAGTGTCAGTCAGCGTTCTTTTGTCCAGGGGTGCAGTGCCCCAGCCAGAAAGGCATGTGAGATGACTCGTCCTTGGCATGTGAATACAGTCTGATGTTTTCTATCGAGAGTGTTCTCTTCCATTTCTTTGAGTTCTGTTTTTTAAAGTAGGGTGTGGCCGTTGGCCCTCGTTGGCCTTGAACCTACGTTGATTCTCCTGCCTCGGCCCCCTGAATCGTGGGATTACAACTATGTCTCCGTGCGTGGCCTCTGTTTCCTCTTTCGAGGTGGTCTCTAAATGGAGGCCCTGATCTGTGTCTTCTATGTATTGAGGTCTGGACATCTCTGAAAGAAGCAGAGGAGGGGGCCTCGAGCACTCCTTCCTCGGAAGTTAAGGAAAGTTCATGGATGACTAGTGAAACGAACCAAAACAAAGCCGGGCAGGCACAGAGTGTGCACAGAGCAGGGAGGGAGGAGGTGGATGAGGGAAGGTCCCTGAGAGACCTGTCTGTCGGGACTCATCTGCCCATGAGTCTAGAAAGGTAGTGGTAGCCTCACTGGAACCCCCAAACCCAGACAGAGAAAGTTTGGGTACCCTTCTGTTCATATATTTCCACTCCAGAAAGCCCTCCAGGGTTTCAGTGACGGGCCTCTTTTCTCAATTACCATGGTGGGGGAGGTGGGAGGCACGTGGGCTTTCTAGTTTTTGTTTAACAGCCTTACAAATAATCTCCGCCCTCAAATCCTGGACCAGATGCCCAGGGTATAACTTTCACTTAGTTCAAGAGTGACGGGTGGGGGCTGGAGAGATGGCTCAGCGGTATGAGCCCTTGTTCTTGCAGAGGACCAGGGTTTGATTCCCAGCACATGTGGGGTGTTCATAACCATCCGTAACTCCAGAGCCAGGGGCTCCAATGGCCTCCTCTTCTGGTCTCCGGGGCACTGCATGCGAGTGATGCACAGACATATATGCAGGCAACCCCCCCCCCCCCCACACACACACACGGTGAGAAGTGAAGCTGGACTCTCTAGCCCCAAATACCCTCTCAAGAGGGGGCCTGTGGACTCTCCCCTGGTCACCTACCTGCTCCATTTTCCTGCCCTGACTCTGGAACCCGCATGTTGTTGAGAAGCAGCTTGGAACAGCGGTACTTCCCCCAGTACTGGAACAGAGGGATGGGGGCGGGGGGGGGGGGCTTAGGTGGAGCGGCTGTCTTGTCTCCTAAAGCGATTGAGATCCTGTAGGTGTTCTTGGGCCAAGACTGAACCAAGGGAGGCAGAGCTGGAAGGGGCCGAGAGCTTCCTCCGGACCTACATGCTTATGATGCCCTTCTATAAAACGTGAGCAGGAAGGCCAACAGAGGCCTTCCATGGCCCTCTCTGAAGTCACTGAAATGTTTTATTTGCTTATTTTAAAGAGCTGGAAATTGAACTCAGGACCTCTGGAAGAGCAGCCAAGAGCTCTTAACTGCTGAGCCCAGTCCAATCTAGCCCAGAAATATTATATTAGGAGACAGTCTCTCATGTATCCAGGTTGTCCTCAAACTCACAAGGGTGGCTCAAGATGACCTTGAACTTTGTTCGTGTGTGTGTGTGTGTGTGTGTGTGTGTGTGTAGACCAGAAAAAAGAATCCCAGGTAGGTGTCTTTCTCAATCACTCAATCATCTTATTTTTGAGAGGGGGTGGGGCTGTTGTCTAGTATTGAACGCGGAGCAAATCAGTTCGGGTAGGGTGGCGTCCACTGAGCTCCAGGGTGAGTCACCCTGCCTCTGCCCCCCTTCTCCCTGCCAGCACAGCACGTCTAACGTGTCTGTGAACACTGGAGGTAGGATCTCAGGTCCTCACACTCGTACAGTAGGTCCTTTACCATCTCTCCAGCCATGGATGACCCTGAGTCTTCTTCCATCTCCCGAATTCTGGAATTCCAAATGCATACCAACACAGCCAGTTTATGTGTTGCCAGGGATCACACCCAGGACTTGGCCCATGCTTGGGCAAGCACTTAACCAACTGACCTATACCTTAGCCCCATTTTTTTTTTTTTTGTTATTTTGCTCATTTACTTATTATTCATTTTTATTGTTTGTTTTTTGTTTGTTTGTTTGTTTTGGAGACAAGGTCTCACTGTGTAGCCCTGGCCAACCTGGAACTCACAAAGATCCACCTGCCTCTGCCTCCTAGTGCTGGGGTTAAAGATCACCAGGACTGGTAACAACAGTAACAGTCCACAGTCCTCGGAGCTCGCTGTTCGTTTAGGTTTGTGTGTGTGTGTGTGTGTGTGTGTGTGTGTGTGTGTGTGTGTGTGTGGTTGTGTGGGTCATCTGATTGTCCCCAAGTCTCCATTCTGTTTTGTGTTGTTGGTGAGTCCTCAACACCAGGGATGCACAGCCCTGTGTCCTCTAGTCCTAAGGCTTGTGCCAAAGTGGGGTAGAGGGAGGGAGACCAGAGGTCGGGGAAATCAGACACACGGGAGGGGGTGGGGGGTGGGGGGTGGGGCTGGTGAAGAGAGCATGGCTCCCCTGCGG